CAAAACCACCCCCAAAACCGGGGAGAAATGACCCAAAACACCGCCCCGAAAATGGGAGAGAAACCAACCCCAAAACCGGGGAGAAACAACCCAAAACACCGCCCCGAAAATGGGAGAGAAACCAACCCCAAAACCGAGGAGAAATGACCCAAAACACCGCCCCGAAAATGGGAGAGAAATACCCCAAAATTGGGAGAGAAACCACCCCAAAACCACCCCAAAATTGGGAGAGAAACCACCCCAAAACCGGGGAGAAATAACCCAAAACACCGCCCCGAAAATGGGAGAGAAACAGCCCAAAATATCCCCAAAATATGGCAGAGAAATGCCCCAAAATTGGGAGAGAAATGCCCCAAAATTGGGAGAGAAACCACCCCAAAACCACCCAGAAATGGCACAGAAATAGCCCCCAAAATGGCAGAGAAATAACCCAAAACACCGCCCCAAAAAAAGGAGAGAAACGGCCCGAAATGTCCCCAAAATACGGCAGAGAAATGCCCCAAAACTGGGAGAGAAATGCCCCAAAATTGGGAGAGAAACCACCCCCAAAACCGGGGAGAAATAACCCAAAACACCGCCCCGAAAATGGCAGAGAAATACCCCAAAACCACCCCCAAAACCGGAGAGAAATGACCCAAAACACCGCCCCGAAAATGGGAGAGAAACGGCCCGAAATGTCCCCAAATTATGGCAGAGAAATGCCCCAAAATTGGGAGAGAAACCACCCAGAAATGGCAGAGAAATAACCCAAAACACCGCCCCAAAAATGGGAGAGAAACGGCCCGAAATGTCCCCAAAATATGGCAGAGAAATGCCCCAAAAATGGCACCAAACTACCCCAAAACTTCCCCCCAAAAATGGCAGAAAAACACCCCAAAACCACCCCAAAAATGGGAGAGAAACCACCCCAAAACCACCCCAAAATTGGGAGAGAAACCACCCAGAAATGGCAGAGAAATAACCTAAAATATCCCTCCCAAATATCACAGAGAAACACCCCAAAATACACCAAAAATGGGAGAGAAACGGCCCGAAATGTCCCCAAAATATGGCAGAGAAATACCCCAAAAATCCGAGAGAAACCACCCCAAAACCG